GAGAGAGAAGGAGAGAGAGGGAGAGAAAGGGGGGGAGGGAGGGAGAGGGGGAGAGGGGAGAGAGAGATGTGTGAGAGAGGGAGAGAGAGAGAGGAGGGAGGGAGTGAGTGAGTGAGGGAGGGAGTTGGCGTCGGTATTTGAGGAGAAGAGGAGATGAATCTGGTTGGGTGATAATGGCAAACCGAAGGGCGCGAAAAGTAATCTGAATCTGTTTGCCTAATAATCGACTCTGCGCTGGCGACTGGTTACTCTGGCGCAGCGACGGTGGTGCGCCCCGCCCCGCCACTCCCCGCCACGTCATGGTAAACAGCGCCGCAGCGCAGACTGAGCCTGATGACTCGCAGTCGCGCGCCTCATCGAGCGTTGACATTGTGGGGAGGTTTCTGCAGCGTCGTAAAATGCCATCATTTTAAATCATTATATATTTTGTCATGCGTCATCAGTATAAGAAGTACGTCTGATTTCTGACAATTCTAAAAGTAAATTACTCTGGTGGCAAAGTAATTTACCGTAATTTACTAGTTCTTTACTAAGTTTTTCGAAATTTACTGTGCCTCTCGACCCCCCGCCTGTACTTCTATTTTTATTTTATTTTCCATTTCAGGAATGTCTTATTGCTTTTAGCTTGTACAACACACGTGCGACATAGTTACAAATTCTGTTCCCAGAAACAGAATTCATACAGATCGTCCTGTACTTCCATACTACGGTCAAAATCTGTTCGACTGGTGACTGGTATTTCAGGGATAAAGACTTGTCATTGCGTGAAAAGAACTTTCCTTTAGAATAAAGTACAGTAAGCCTACAGAGGATAACACTGTTTTCAAGAATTACCAGTCCATTCTGTAGTAATTGCCTGTTGTAATTTTAAACTGTGTACCTTGCAAGAACATTCTTCTTATCTTGTGCAGGTAGTAGTTCCTCGGGTTGCTCAGGTTGCGTATGTTTGTCCGCAGGGTCCGCGGGCGCGCGCGCTCAGGAGGGCCCCGCTGGCTCGCTCCGAGGCCCCTCCTTTCTGCTGGAGCCGCCCACCCGGCTCGAGTTCTCCAACTCGACGGGCGGCTGGCTGGACTGCACCGCGACGGGCTCCCCGCCGCCCTCCGTCTCCTGGGTGACGGGCGACGGCGCGCGGGTCGGCGACGTGGGCGCGGTGCGCCGCCTCGAGGCCAACGGCACCCTGGTCCTGCTGCCCTTCGCCGCCGCCGCCTACCGCCAGGACGTCCACTCGGCCACCTACCGCTGCGTGGCCGCCAACGCCGTCGGCGCCATCACCAGCAGGGAAGTCCTCGTGCGCGCCGGTAAGTTGGCGGGGACGTTTGAAACGACCCATCAGTTACATTTGTAAAATACCGCATCTTTCGTTAAGTATAAAACGCACAAATTTTGTCGTACCATCTACCAAAATTTCTGTCGCTTAACAACAAGCTTCACTTACGCAACTTTGAATCATGTCAAAAATGCTTCTTTTCCAACACGTAATATTTTTGCGGTGTGGGTGCCGGTATATGGGTTCCCGGAAAGGTCCCGGCTGCTGCCGGCATCCCGGGCGCACATAGCAAGACGGATGAATCTCTGCAATCCCGAGTGTGTATCGCACTTCCGGTCTCTGCTGCGGGCATGCCTGTGCGCGCCGTGGAGGGGTTGGGGG